GGTCAAGCGAAGGTCAATTGTCTTTTATATGTTATATAGCAATGCTTAGGTTTAAGTGTACTTGTACTTTTGTCTATATTGTTTATCCAATATCCAGACACATTGTTATTACTATTGTTCTTTTTTTTTTTTTTTTTTTTTTTTTTTTTTTTTTTTTGCTTCGTTATAAATCAGTGAAGTATTTCATAAAACAATACTGAAAATACGGATCAGTCCTCTTCCCTAAAAATAATAATAATATTAATAAAAAAAATCAATTTTGAAAAGCAAAAAAGAAAAAAAAATCACAAAAGGGACTCTACTTTTCTTCCATTTTTTTCTCCTATTTTCCTTAACCTTGCTTCGTATAAACGGCGCTTGATAAGGAGAAAAAAATGTTCTACTTATTGACACCCAAAGAATTTAGATTGGTGGACCTTGGCTGCGGATCAATACGAAGGTGAAAATAGAATTAGGTGATTGGTAGAGAAAAGGGAGGAGGAATAGGAGCGGATTATATATAGGGACGAAATCATTATGGTGATGATTATCGTTTTGTCATCAGTTCCGTTATTATTCTTATTATCACCGTCATTATCATCATTATCATCATTATAATTTTTTTTGTCATCATCATCATTATCATTATCATCATCATCATTATTATCATTATCATCATCATTATTTTATTGTCATCATCATCATCATCATTATCATCACCATCATCATCATCATTCTTATTATCATCATCATCATCATTATCGTTATCAAAATCATCATCATTGTCTTTATCATCATCATTATTATCCTCCTCATCATCATCATCATTATCATCATCATCATCAATATTATTGTCATCCCTATCATCATCATCGCCATCTTCATCACCATCACAATCGTCATCCCCATCTTCCTCATCCTCATCTTCATCCTCATCACCGCAACCATCAGCATCGTCATCCTCATCATGATGAAGGAAAACCGAGAAGGAAAATGAGCTATTGATTACCCAATCAGGCAATTACCATCACAAAGGCAAAATTATTCCTTTGCTTCACCGAATATAAACACATATAATTACAAAGCAACAATAACTGATAAAAAAAAAAAAACTACAGCAACTAATAAAAGAAAAAACACAAAAAAGATAAATAAAAAAGACAAAAAGTTTCCCCTTAACGAAAACGTATTTTAACAACAACAACAACAACAAAAAAAAAAACATTTTTTCCTTAACCTCTCCTCCCTGTCTTTCTCCTCGACCCTCCCCTCATCCCCCCTCCCCTTTGTTTGCTCTCCTCATTTCACTCTCCCTCTCTTTTATTTACTCCTATACGACGGAATTACGGCACCTATAAAGAAGCTCTACGTTCTTACGAGGACATCAGCAGCAGAAGAAATGTTCACCCAAAGTCGGAAAAGAAAAAAAAAATGAAATAAAAAAAAAAGTTGCGACCCCCGAACCTTACCAGCTGACTGAGCGGCCACACGGGACGAGGGGAAACTTCTTCAATCGTCGCTCTCATTGTCGCTCAGAGATCTACGGTCACTCGGTGGTACCTGAGAGATGGATTCTTACGTCATAGGGCGAGGGGAAGGGGGGAGGGAAGGGGGATGGGGGGAGGGGAGGGGAAGGGGGATGGGGGGGAATGGGAAGGGGAATGGGGGGGATGGGAAGGGGGAAGGGAGGGGGAGGGAGGGGGGAGGAGAGATGGGAAAGGAGGGGAAGGGGGAAGGAGGATGGATGAAGGGGGGGGAAAAGGAGGGAAGGGGAAGGAAGGAAAGGGTAAAAGAAGGAAGGAGGAAGGGGCAAGAGGAAGGGAAGGGGGATGGATGGATGGGGGAACGGGGAAAGGAGGGAAGGGCAAGGGAAGAAAGGGAGATGGGACGGGGAAAGGTGGGAAGAGAGAGGGGAAGGGAGAGGAAAGAGAGAGATGGAGCAGGGAGAGAAAGGAAGGGGAAAAGAGGGGGATGGGACGGAGAAAGGAGGAGAAAGAGGGGGCAAAGGAGGGGGAAGAGAGGGGAGAAGGTCTAGGTAGGGGAGGGGGAAAGATAAAGAGAGATGAGGTAGGGGAAGGGAGAGCGAAAAGGAGGGAGGAAAGAAGTGTAAAAAGAGAAATAAAAGAGAGAAGTAGCGATAGGGAAGAAAGAGAGAGGAAAGGGAAGGGAAGAGGGAGGGAGAGAAAGAAATAGAGGGAAAAGAGGGAAGCAGCAAGAGGGGAGAGGGAAAGAAAAAGGTAGAGAGTGAGGGAAGTAATGAGGAAAATGTAAGAGAGAAAAGAAGAGGAGGGATAAGTAAGAAAGTAAAGGGAAAAGAGAGAGAGGGGAAACGGAAGGAAAGAGAGAAAAAAAGACATAAAAAGGGGCGAGGAAATGGAAAACGGAATGAAAAAGAAAGAGAGAGAAAGGGAGAGAGGGAAAATGAGGAAGTAGCGAGAAAGAAAAAGGAGAGATGAGGAAATGGAGGGAGCGGAAGATGAGAGGGAGAAAGAGAAAAAGGAAAGGGAAGTAAAAGAAGTAA